TGACATATTACTGATCGGAAATGATATAGAATTTCTGGATAGCATAAAAGGATACCTGAATAAGAGTTTTTCAATGAAAGACCTTGGTGAAGCTGCTTACATATTGGGCATTAAGATCTATAGAGACAGATCAAGACGCTTAATTGGACTTTCACAAAGCACATACCTTGACAAAGTTTTGAAGAAGTTCAAAATGGATCAAGCAAAGAAAGGGTTCTTGCCTGTGTTACAAGGTGTGAAGTTGAGTAAGACTCAATGCCCGACCACTTCAGAAGATAGAGAAAAGATGAAAGAAGTTCCCTATGCTTCAGCCATAGGATCTATCATGTATGCAATGCTGTGTACCAGACCTGATGTGTGCCTTGCTATAAGTTTAGCAGGGAGGTACCAAAGTAATCCAGGAGTGGATCATTGGACAGCGGTCAAGAACATCCTGAAATACCTGGAAAGGACTAAGGATATGTTTCTCGTTTATGGAGGTGACAAATAGCTCATCGTAAATGGTTACGTTGATGCAAGCTTTGACACTGATCTGGACAATTCTAAATCGCAAACCAGATACGTGTTTACATTGAACGGTGGAGCTGTCAGTTGGTGCAGTTCTAAAAAAAGCGTTGTGGCGGGATCTACATGTGAAGCGGAGTACATAGCTGCTTCGGAAGCAGCAAACGAAGGAGTCTGGATGAAGGAGTTCATATCCGATCTAGGAGTCATACCTAGTGCATTGGGTCCAATGAAATTCTTTTGTGACAATACTGGTGCAATTGCTTTGGCGAAGGAATCCAGATTTCACAAAAGAACCAAGCACATCAAGAGACGCTTCAATTCCATTCGGGATTTAGTCCAAGTGGGAGACATAGAAATTTGCAAGATACATACGGATCTGAATGTAGCAGACCTGTTGACTAAGCCTCTTCCACGAGCAAAACTTGATCAGCACCAAGGCTCCATGGGTGTTAGAATCATTACAGTGTAATCTAGATTATTGACTCTAGTGCAAGTGGGAGACTGAAGGAAATATGCCCTAGAGGCAATAATAAAGTTATTATTTATTTCCTTATATCATGATAAATGTTTATTATTCATGCTAGAATTGTATTAACCGGAAACATAATACATGTGTGAATACATAGACAAACAGAGTATCACTAGTATGCCTCTACTTGACTAGCTTGTTGATCAAAGATGGTTAAGTTTCCTAACCATAGACATGTGTTGTCATTTGATTAATGGGATCACATCATTAGGAGAATGATGTGATTGACATGACCCTTTCCGTTAGCTTAGCACACGATCGTTTAGTATATTGCTATTGCTTTCTTCATGACTTATACATGTTCCTATGACTATGAGATTATGCAACTCCCGTTTACCGGAGGAACACTTTGTGTGCTACCAAACGTCACAACGTAACTGGGTGATTATAAAGGATCTCTACAGGTGTCTCCAAAGGTACATGTTGGGTTGGCGTATTTCGAGATTAGGATTTGTCACTCCGATTGTCGGAGAGGTATCTCTGGGCCCTCTCGGTAATGCACATCACTTAAGCCTTGCAAGCATTGCAACTAATGAGTTAGCTGTGAGATGATGTATTACAGAACGAGTAAAGAGACTTGCCGGTAATGAGATTGAACTAGGTATTGAGATACCGACGATCGAATCTCGGGCAAGTAACATACCGATGACAAAGGGAACAACGTATGTTGTTATGCGGTCTGACCGATAAAGATCTTCGTAGAATATGTGGGAGCCAATATGAGCATCCAGGTTCCGCTATTGGTTATTGACCGGAGACGTGTCTCGGTCATGTCTACATTGTTCTCGAACCCGTAGGGTCCGCACGCTTAAAGTTACGATGACAGTTTCATTATGAGTTTATATGTTTTGATGTACCGAAGGTTGTTCGGAGTCCCGGATGTGATCACGGACATGACGGGGAGTCTCGAAATGGTTGAGACATGAAGATTGATATATTGGAAGCCTATGTTTGGACATCGGAAGTGTTCCGGATGAAATCGGCATTTTACCGGAGTACCGGGACATTACCGGAACCCCCCGGTAACTTAATGGGCCTTAATGGGCCTAGTGGAGGAAGAGGAGAGGAGGCCAAGGGGCAGCCGCGCGCCCCTCCCCCCCAAGTCCGAATTGGACAAGGAGGGGGGCGGCGCCCCCCCTTTCCTTTCCCTTCTCTCTCTTCTTCCCCCCAAGTCCTAGTCCAACATGGAAAAGGGGGGAGTCCTACTCCCGGTGGGAGTAGGACTCCTCCTGGTGCGCCCTCCTCCTGGCCGGCCGCACCCCCTTGCTCCTTTATATACGGGGGCGGGGGGGGGGCACCCCAGAGACACAACAATTGATCCTTGAGATCTCTTAGCCGTGTGCGATGCCCTCCTCCACCATAGTCCTCGATAATATTGTAGCGGTGCTTAGGCAAAGCCCTGCAACGGTAGACATCAAGATCGTCACCACGCCGTCATGCTGACGGAACTCTTCCCCGACACTTTGCTGGATCGGAGTCCGGGGATCGTCATCGAGCTGAACGTGTGCTAGAACTCGGAGGTGTCGTAGTTTCGGTGCTTGATCGGTCGGGCCGTGAAGACGTACGACTACATCAACCGCGTTGTTATAACGCTTCCGCTTTCGGTCTACGAGGGTACGTGGACACACTCTCCCCTCTCGTTGCTATGCATCACCATGATCTTGCGTGTGCGTAGGAATTTTTTTGAAATTACTACGTTCCCCAACACTTCCGTCGCTGGAGGGACAACGACGATGGCATGAACGACGACGATGGTGCGACAGGGCAGGACGGCCACACGTACGAGGTGGTCGATCGTCTGGTATAGGGTTTAAGATTATCGACCCATTTTGTGTAAATTATGGCTGAAATTTAATGAAATCCGACTTGTTTGATAATTTTTGTATGGTTTGTTTAAACTTGTTTCAAAATGTACGTGGATACCATTGGGTGGCCGCCTCCCGTATCCATGTCCGCGGACTGCCCCCCCCCCTCCTGGTTCGTGAACGGATGCGGTTTGTGGTCAATGTTGGAGATGCCCTTATGCGCCCTATCTATCAATGGCATTGACTCATCTACTAGGAGTATTTTTTACATCTACTAGGATTTTTTATTGGAAAAGAAAGTCGAGAAAAACTTCCGATATTTATCAAACATCATGACAACATAAAAGAACACAAGAAGCAATGATCCAAAGATGTGTCGTCGTCGTTGACCCTCCTTTATCGGAGTCGGACAAACCTAGACAATCGATAAGTCGTCATGCTAAGATCCTAGGACCAGTGCACTAGATCGGAAGGATCCAATATGCAGACACACAAACATCGACGAATGAAGACTAGATCAAGTGGGGACACACACCAATCCTGTAAGAACTGTCGAAAACATGCTACCACACACACTGTGACGATGCTAGATGCACCTGCAAGTGCAATCATGTCCTTAATCATATTTTGATGTTGATGACAATATACTTACGTTTGTCATATGATATCAATTCCCTTTGCATCATTGTGCGCTGATCATGGATCCATCAAATGTATTTCCTTTTGTCAAGTGTATACTTACTTTGTCAATATTCTTTTCGGATGACAAGTTTCAGTTTTTTAATATATTTTTTGGATAACAACTTTAGTGATAAAAAATGCCAGGGCTAGAGTGCTCCATGACACACGTATGACACTTATTATTTGGGTTAATAAAAGGATTAAAAGATTAACAGAGCTTGGGTGTTGGACATAGGCCCCGAGGTGACGAGTCAGATGCTCCAGGAATACCTGAGCTTGTGGGACCGAATGGAGCAGGTCCAGTTGCACCATGACTCGGTCGATTCAGTAAGGTGGGCTTGGGAGCCAAGCGGCTCCTTCTCCACGAGGTCGGTGTACCAAGCTAAATTCTGGGCGAGGAAGAAAGTTCCAACGACGCATGCAGTTCACGTGGAAGTCCAAAACTCCTTTGAGATACAGATTCTTTACTTGGCTCGCAATCCAGAATAGATGCTGGACCTCAGATAGATTGGAGAGCCGTGGACTGAAACACGAGGAAGCATGCCCGTTTTGTGATCAAGTTGAGGAGAGTATGAACCACATAATGCTACAGTGTGCCTTCGCTAGGGAGGTATGGCTGCGGGTGTGCATGGCTTGGGAAAAGCCACAATGGGCTCCGACGGCAACATCAAATCTGGGCGAGTGGCGTGTGACCACTGCGGACAGCGCCACAAAGAAGAAGGTTGCTTGAACATTGATTGTCCTTGTGCTTTGGGAGCTTTGGAAGCATCAGAATGGCATAGTGTTTGATGAGGATGCCCCGTCCACCGCGTTTGTAATTCATAGGGTAGTGGTAGAGTGCACGGCGTGGAAGGCGGCAAGCTTGCTTAAAGTAGACATGGACCGGTTCCTTGTGGCCATGGAGGTGGGTCATGTAGCGAGTAGTTAGCTTGTACTCCCTCCGTTCCAAAATAGATGACCCAACTTTTATACTAAAATTAGTACAAAGTTGAGTCATCTATTTTAGAACGGAGGGAGTAAGTTATAAGCATGGGTGGAGTTGGGGTTATGTGTTTGTAATCACCAACGTGGAGGGGCTCTTTACCCCATTTTTCCTCTTGAAAATATAGTATACACACTCGTGCGTATTCGAGATTTTTTTTTTAAAAATGATCAAAGGGGTTCGATTAAATTTGAACATCATCTTTGTCACAGTGATACTACCTTTTCTGTTTTTCACATCTCTATAAATAGGCCTTAGCCAATATCCCGCTCTCACCATATCGCAAAAATGACTTAGTAAAATCCCTCTTTTTAAGAGTACATCAATGACGTATAATATTTTTATAGTAGAAGGATGAGAGTTATAATTCCGTCAACGAATGCGAACATCCACAGCGACACACCGACACCAACACGCTACACATAGCCTACTCTCTCAGCTCTTTGCTCAAGATGATGTGATCTGATCGATCAGTCTAGAATCTGTAACCAATTGGCTAAGGATCTAAACCTTCTGCTCCAAACCCTGCGCGCAGCATGTCCACCTTGTCATAAATTTCATCCCATGTGGTCCCTGCAGGAGCGGCAAGTGGGAGGACAATGGAGTTGATCCACTCCTCCTTGTGCTCCTCGGAGTCGGCGGCGAAGTACATGGTCTCGCCCGGGGTGGAGAGCTCGAAGGCGAACTTGCGGTCGAGCACGCCCTCGGCGCCCTTGACGGCGAGGCAGGAGGCGAGGAAGATGACGCCGCGGGGCACGGACGCGTGGTCGACGTCCGAGTCCTTGAACCAGAAGAGCATCCCCTGCTTGAGCACGAACCACCGCCGGCGCCACGTCTTGGTGTGCTCCCCCTGCTTGTCCAGCCACCCCGCGCACTCGGGCTGGTGCCAGAACTCGATGTAGTCCAGGAAGTCCGCGTCCGCGGCCGGGGCGCCGGCGCCCATCGCCTCTCGCCACAGGCTCGCCGCCATGAGATGTGGGGGGATTTGGGGATCGGATCGAGCGAGTCGGGAGATTTTCTGGCGTTCGTTCGTTCGGTTGGGTTTCCCCCCTGGGCCCTGCTTTTAACGGAACGGGCCGGGCTGGAGTCGGACTGTGTGCTGTACTACCGAGCTTCTTTGTATCGGTATCGGTATAGATGCGTTGCTCACATGGATAGCAGAACGTTACAAAACGTGGGATACTATGAAGTTTCTGAGAGGATAAAGCACTCTGCCATGGGAAGTTTTTGAGAGGAGAAAGCACTCTGCCATGGGTGTGTATCGGGGACTTCAATGAGATCCTCCGTCCGGAAGAGCAGATGGGCCCAAACCCCCGTGATAGTGCTTAGATAGTAGGTTTTCGTGAGGCGGTGGATGTTTGTGAACTTGACAACCCCGGCTACAAGGGACTGGATTGGACTTGGGAGAAGAAGGTGGCAGGTGGCCACTACTGTAGGGTCTGTCTTGACCGTGCACTAGCTAACATGAGTTGGTCTGCAATGTTTCATTTGCGTCAGTTGAGCATCTAACAGCAGCGAAGTTGGACCATAGCCCAATATCGTTGATGAATAAGGTCGAGGCAAATAATATTAGGATCGCTCTCAAGAAGCCGTTTCGCTACGAATGTATGTGGGAGTCTAATGGCGGATTTCGAGATGTGGTTCAAGAAGCATGGGGACCGGACCAGCCAGCAGCTTCAGTGCATGATCTAGTTGTAAAACTTGAGAGTGTTGCTGGCTCTCTATCCCGATGGGGGAGAAATACTTTTGGCTCGGTTCGCTGTGAACTACGAGCATTACGATCTCGCCCGCGGGAGCTAAGGGAGGATCCGTTCGGCTCGGTCCTGGCATTGAGGAGAGGCATGTTGAGGCAAGGATAGTTGAGCTATGCTACATGGAAGAGGTTATGACGAGACAACGAGCTAGAATTCAGTGGCTTGCTGAAGGCGATGTGAATACACAGTTTTTCCAACGAAAGGCAAGTGCAAGACAAGCAAAAAACAAGATAGCCAAGCTGGAGAGAGCTGATGGTACTCCTTGCACAGACGGTAGAGAGCTTGTAGACATGGCAAATGAATTCTATTCCAATCTATATACATATGAAGGAACCATAGGTATGGAAGAGGTGCTTTCCCATATCCCAAATAGAGTGGATGGTGCTCTCAACGCACATCTAAATGACGCATACACTAAAGAAGAGATTAAGCAAGTTTTATTTCAAATGTTTCCCACAAAGGTGCGAGGACCTAACGGGTTTGACGATGACATGGACCTGGGATAGGGTCATAGGCCTGACCTATACGCCCTACCCAAGGTCACTACCATAGAATCAAGGACATTCAAAGTATAACTAGAGATACCGACTGAAGTAACCATGGAGTGCAATCCACTCGACCAATTACCTCGCTCGGATGCCCCAATTCCATTCGACCAAGATGAAGTCACTCGACCATACAAGAAACCACTCGGAGTACAGAAGACCTAAAGTCACTCAGGATGGCAATGGTCAGACGTTCACTCAGTAGTCTTAAAGATCATTAATAGCTCTTTATAGCTGGCGTTACCAGTAACGCCCTATCTTAATGTACATTGAACCCTGTAATGGGGGACGGCTGGGGTCCTGGTGCACTCTATATAATCCACCCCCTCCTCTGGCACAAGAGTTCGCATCCCCTGTAACACACACCATATTCCAGTCGACCGCCTGATACGTCTCCGTCGTATCTACTTTTCCAAACACTTTTGCCCTTGTTTTGGACTCTAACTTGCATGATTTGAGTGGAACTAACCCGGACTGACATTGTTTTCAACAGAACTGCCATGGTGTTATTTTTGTGCAGAAATAAAAGTTCTCGGAATGACCTGAAAATCCACGCAGCAACTTTTCAAAATTAATAAAAAATACCGGCGAAAGAAATAGAGTCAGGGGCCACACCCTGTCCACGAGGGTGGGGGGCGTGCCCCCTCCCCCTGGGCGCGCCCCCCTGCCTCGTGGGCCCCCTGGATGTCCACCGACCTCAACTCCAACTCCATATATTTGCTTTCGCGGAGAAAAAAAATTAGAGAGAAAGTTTCATCACGTTTTATGATACGGAGCCACCACCAAGCCCTAATCTCTCTCGGGAGGGCTGATCTGGAGTCCGTTCGGGGCTCCAGAGAGGGGGATTCGTTGCCGTCATCATCATCAACCATCCTCCATCACCAATTTCATGATGCTCACCGCCGTGCGTGAGTAATTCCATCGTAGGCTTGCTGGACGGTGATGGGTTGGATGAGATTTACCATGTAATCAAGTTAGTTTTTTAGGGTTTGATCCCTAGTATCCACTATGTTCTGAGATTGATGTTGCTATGACTTTGCTATGCTTAATGCTTGTCACTAGGGCCTGAGTGCCATGATTTCAGATCTGAACCTATTATGTTTTCATGAATATATGTGAGTTCTTGATCCTATCTTGCAAGTCTATAGTCACCTATTATGTGTTATGATCCGACGACCCTGAAGTGACAATAATCGGGATACTTCTTGGTGATGACCATAGTTTGAGGAGTTCATGTATTCACTATGTGTTAATGCTTTGGTCCGGTACTCTATTAAAAGGAGGACTTGATATCCCTTAGTTTCCACTAGGACCCCGTTGCCACGGGAGGGTAGGACAAAAGATGTCATGCAAGTTCTTTTCAGTAAGCACGTATGACTATATTCAGAATACATGCCTACATTACATTGATGAACTGGAGCTAGTTCTGTGTCACCCTATGTTATAACTATTAGATGAGGAATTGCATTCGACATAATTATCCATCACTAATCCATTGACTACGAGCTTTCACATATTGTGCTTTGCTTATTTACTTTACCATTGCTACTGTTACAATTACTACAAAACTGCTACCGTTACTTTTGCCACTGTTACTGTTACTTCCATACTACTTTGCTACTAAATACTTTGCTGCAGATACTTCCAGGTGTGGTTGAATTGACAACTCAACTGCTAATACTTGAGAATATTCTTTGGCTCCCCTTGTGTCGAATCAATAAATTTGGGCTGAATACTCTACCCTCGAAAACTGTTGTGATCCCCTATACTTGTGGGTTATCAAGACTATTTTCTAGCACCATTGCCGGGGATCATAGCTCTATTCTTTGAGTCACTTGGGATTTATATCCGCTGATCATTATGAGGAACTTGAAAGATGAAATAACTAAGATTTATCCCTCAACTGCGAGGGGATGTAAGGAACTGCCATCTAGCTCTGCACTAGATTCTCCTTCTGTTATGAGTAAGCTTGCGACACCTAAACCTGCTTCTGCTATCAATTCTAATATGTCGCATGTTATTGATGATGCCACTTCTACTATGTATGATACTTATGATGAAACTACTTCTATGCATGATACTACTGTGCCATTGGGTGAATTTCTTGATGAACAACTTGCTAGGGCTAGAGAGAATGAAATTATTGAAACTGATATTATTGAAGAAGTGATGATGAAGGTTCTCCCCCTAAATATGAATTACCTGTTGTTCCGGAGGGTTATGTTATGGATGAAGAAACTACTAGAGATATTCTTGCTTGCAATGATAGATCTGATCTTAAGAAGTTATTAGCTAAACTGAAACAGAAATCTCTAAATGCTAGAATGAAATATGACCCTGCTTTTGCTACTTCACCTATCTTTGTTACTGATAAGGATTATGAATTCTCTGTCGATCCTGAGATAATTACTTTGGTTGAATCTGATCCTTTTTATGGCAATGAATCTGAAACTGTTGTGGCACATATTACTACGTTAAATGATATAGCCACCCTGTTCACTAATGATGAGAAATCCCGCTACTATTATATCCTCAAGATATTTCCATTCTCATTAAAGGGTGATGCTAAAACTTGGTTTAATTCTCTTGATCCTGGTTGTGTGCGTAGTCCCCAGGATATGATTTATTACTTCTCTGCTAAATATTTCCCTGCTCATAAGAAACAAGCTGCCTTGAGGGAAATATATAATTTTGTGCAAATTGAAGAAGAGAGTCTCCCACAAGCTTGGGGGAGGCTTCTCCGGTTACTTAATGCTTTACCTGATCATCCTCTTAAGAAAAACGAAATACTTGATATCTTTTATAATGGACTAACTGATGCTTCCAAGGACCACTTGGATAGTTGTGCTGGTTGTGTTTTCAGGGAAAGAACAGTCGATCAAGCTGAATTGCTATTGAATAATATGTTGACTAATGGAAATAATTGGACTCTTTCTGAGCCAATTCCTAAACCAACTCCTAAGCCAACTCCGAAGAAGAGGGGTGTTCTATTTCTCAGTCTTGAAGATATGCAAGAGGCAAAGAAATCTATGAAAGAAAAAGGTACTAAAGCTGAAGATGTTAAGAATTTACCTCCTATTGAAGGAATACATGGTCTTAAGATACCACCTATTGAAGAAACACATGGTCTTGATAACCCGACACAGGTAGTAAAGGTAAATCCTCTCTATAGATATGATAAAGTTGAAATCCCGTCTACTAAGTCTCCTAGCCAATGTTTGGATGAATTTGATGACTTTATGGCTAGACAAGAAAATTTCAATGCTTATGTTGGTAGAGAATTAAAGAGTAATTATTACATGATTGGACGCTTGAGTGATTATATGGCTAGAGTTAAATGTGAACTTACACTCATTAGAAAATATGCTTCTATGGTTACCACTCAAGCAGAACAAGTACTTAAAGCTCAAAGTGATTTGCTCGATGAATTAAATAATAAACATGATTTTGCTGTTAGAGTGGCTACTAGAACTGGTAAAATGACTCAGGAACCTTTGTATCATGAAGGCCAACCTAAGAGAATTGAGCAAGATTCTCAGAGAAATAATGTAGATGCACCTAGTCCTTCTAAAAAGAAGAAAAGGAAAAATGATAGGACTTTGCATGCTTCTAATGAACCTATTGTAGACATACCTGAGAATCCCAATGATATTTCTATTTCTCATGCTGAA